CAGCAAGTGGGAAAGCGCCGGTAGCCCTTTCCCCTTTTATCTCTCGCACTCTTTTTGTAAAACAGTTTATACACGGTTCTGCTCTGCTTTAACCCCGTTAAACAAACTTCTTACCAAGACCGGTGCACTGCGGAAAAGCAACACCAGAAGAAGCAAGCTCCACGGGTGTTGCTTCTCCGCAGCGCACCGGTGCTCCGAAAGAAGTGCGCTCAATGGTGCTGCGAGAACAAAAAGTATGAATTACACGAAAACATCGTTCGAGTTAAGCGGCTTATAAATACATTGAAAACGTAGCGGGTCAACCAAAGTTTTGAAATTTGTTTGACTTAACCAGAAGTATTAAATATCCGAGTTTGAATTATCGCGAGCCTACTGTATATACTAAGGGAGATATGGCTCAATCCAATGTGCTTATATCGCGAGCCTACTGTATATACTAAGGGAGATCTGGCTCAATCCAATATGCCTAACATCACTGAATAGTTGTGCAATTTTAATTGGATAGTTCTATTTCTCAAGCACTTGATATGTTTGGTATTCAAATCATTGCAAATTTTTACTTTGGTTCAATTTATGGGGGGTTTATTTTATATGTCATATTTAGTAGGAGCTAGGCTAGTTGGTAAGCACGTTGCTTACTTACTTTAACCATGCATGTCATATACAATTTGTTGCAATTGTGTTTGAATGCAAATTCTCTTCTGCTCTTTATTTCAAGCTGCCCTTACATGCATCATGAAGATACCGAGGAGGTCTTCAATTGAATGACAACTTCAAGCGCAAACATGGAGGGGCATCTAAATGGCCAGCACAAGGACAACTATAATGTAAATTTTCTCCAAAGTTAAAGCAAGGCATGCCTTTTTCCAATAAAGGTATTGTGGCGAAACTTCTAAATTGGTTCGTTTGTTGAGCTGTCATCTATAGAAACAGCTGAGCTCACACAAACAAAATCCTGGCAGTGAGAAGTACAGGTTGTGTGCTCTTTCTCTTTTGCAAAACATGAACTTTTTGGCTGAGGATGAAAGATTATTTAAGTTCATATCTACAATGACAGAGCTGTGAACTCTCCATACCAATCTACCCCAAAAGCTTCATGTGACTTAGGCTTGCTTGAATATGGAAGCTTTTTGCACTAAATAATGAAACACTTGACATTTACGTCTTCTTGAACTGGACTCTCCGTAAAAACAAGGCATATAATTTTGTAGAATGGCGAAATTTCTGTAGCCCACATTACGGACAGCTATCTATAGGAAATGTGAAAGCTGTCCGCACTTAATACCGAAGGACTATACCTTTCCGAATTATATAAGGCCAAAGCTACGAGTCATCCGCACCAGTCCTGCACCTCTGATAAGTCAGGTGACACCCCTGGCAGATCTAGAGCTCTGCCAGGTGAGTCGCCTGATGTATCGGAGGTGCAGGTGGTACGGATGGCTCGAGGCTTTGGCCTCATAAGGCGGAAAGGTATAGTCCTTCGGTATTTAGTGCGGACAGCTTTCACATTTCCTACGGATAGCTGTCCGTAATGTGGGCTACAGACGTTCCGTCATTCTACGAAATTATATGCCTTGTTTTTACGGACGTTCCCGTTTCTAGATTACGGCAAACCATACCGGCAATATTGAACCGGCAACTTTTACCCGTAAAATGGAAAACGGATAACTGTCTGTAAAGTGAACTACGGACGTTTTGTCATTTTACGGAATTATATGCCTTGGTTTTACAGACAGTCCCGTTTCTAGATTACGGCAAACCATACCGGCAATATTGAACCGGCAACTTTTGCCCGTAAAATGGGGTGAAAATTTTTTACAGTGTCCTTAAGTCATTTCTCCACCCAACTGTCTCGTATACCGTCTTTGCTGGTGAAAAGATGTCGAACGTGTCGTAAAAGTTCTTGTTCTACATCTTTTTGGCACCGGAATAAACTTCCGCTACACTGTAAAAAATTTCCGTAATTTTACAAACACTTTTGTCGTAATTCTGACGGACTCTGTGTCCGTTTCTTAGTTAACGGACATAAAAACCCGTTTTTTGCTATATCGAACCAGCAACTTTTTCCGTAAAATGGGGCGAAAATTGTTTGCAGTGATAGGTAGAATAAAATTGCATACAGTTGTGTGTCAATGCATACTATAGTAGATGATAAAAGCGTTAAATGTGCTTTTAACGTTTAATCCTGCTAAAAGCAATTCCTTATAGTAAAGAGGCCAAGGGCTACCAAGAATCCTACCGTACCCTGCAAAAGGAACAGATAAAAAGGGCGATGGAAAAAACCGAATAGAAATTAAGTAAAAGTTTATAATTCCCAGTAAAGCACATAGGCACTGCTTCACTTCACTGAGGGTGAAGCTGACGAGTTGCATGCCTACAGAAGTTTTCGACCTTGTGATGATTGTTAGGGGGGTTCTGCATGAGTGCACAAAGAGAAATTGCCAGAACAGTGAAGACCACACCAAGAAGGAATGTTGTTGCTCTATGGTAGGAAACGGCTGAAAGGCACCGGCACAATTCTTGCGAACAACTCCCTTCAGTGCTGTCACGTGACCTTGCAGTTCCACAACGTTGTCTAGGAAGATGACCCACTTAAGGGCCACACTTGAGGTCACCTCTGGCCCACCAGTGAAGGGCCAGAATTCCAGCCAATGTATGAGCAGTGAGTGATCCGTAGAGAGCTTGGCTGCCTAAGAATAGCGTAAGCTGCCCCCTTTTGCTGAACACTTTCACCTGATCTTACAAGATGAACCTCATAGGAGTCTCATATGGAGCTGCAATACTTTAGATGTGGCAGGACCAGGGCTGTGGAAAACACCTAAGTGTGCTATGGCCGGTTCCACTGGATACGCTTGCTGCTGCGCCAGAAAACTCCAAATTCATTCATTCATCGACTGGATACGCAAAGTAAAAGACCCAGTGTTCCGCATGTTTTGGACAAAACTACTTAAAATGCTATGTGAAGAAGCATAGGTGGTTGTTTATAGTAGACCTTGTCGATGTTGTTCTGCAAACCCTCGTGGTTTCTGGTCATCCGTAGCACCAGGGGAGTCGATATCAGGCAGGCATTATCACGATTAATAAACATGTTGAGAACAATTGCACTGAGCACACTGTCCCGTTGAACTGTCGAGCGTTTGGGCCACTGGAAATGGTTCCATGGTATACACTGCACTCTGAGCGACTCAACTGGAAGACTTCTAGTATGCACACATTTAATTAATTTGTGTTAATCAGCACCCGTGGCTCGCTGGGCAGGTCATAGGACCCAGCTCTCACGGAAGCCGGGCATCACGCACAGCATAGCAACACCTTGCCATGCTTGTGGGAGGTTCCAGCTTCAGGTTACGGCGTCACCAAAAGGGTAATGGTAAAGGTACCACGACTAGCACACCTCCACAGTTCTTAGTACAATCTTTTCTGTAAGCAGTGTGCTCCAATCGACAATGTGACTGTCATAAACCAAATCCTGCATCCACGCTTTACATACCGCTAAAACTGTTGAGGGATGCGTCTCGTGGAGTGAGTGAAGGTGCAGCAGCTTATTCGGGACCAAGTGCCCTGTTTGAGAACCACACTGCGAGTTGAAGCAAGGAAAACCAGGGTGTGCAGGGATGAGATTCGTCCGGGTGGGCCAGGGTGGTGGAACACGTGGGGCAGCGTCACTGGTTGCCCGGGCAGGCCAGCGTACGGTGCCCGTACTTGAGACAGTTGTTGCAATGATGGGCTCGAGGTTTGAGGGGACGGCAGCGAAATTCGAGGCGACAGTAGTACACTGTGTAAGGGACATGGGTTCCGATGAAGGTGATGATGGCTGAACCTGTTGTGTCCATTTTCCTTGCGTGAAGGAGCTGTGCGAGGAGCTGTGCGGCTTGCAAGAACGCCGGCAAAATGCCAAGAGGCTGCACAGCTGCGCCAGCAGGAAGGATTGGGAGATGCACTATAACTGCGTGAAGTTCGGGGTTGGGTTGGGCCGAAAGACGAGATTTGCGGGGCTTTCTAGGGGTGATCCATTTCCCACCTAGCTCATCTCCCTCTAGGGGGATTTCCACGTCCTGGCTCAGGATGGATGCAGAGACATTGGTGAGCTCCGAAGCGGCGGTGTCGGCTGAAGCCATATTCGAAGCGGAAACGGGCGCGCCGCTCACAGAACGAGACTCGAGCAAGCCAATCTCTCGCTGGACGTGCTGCGGCGGGCCGACAGTGCGAGGCGATATTTATACCAGTATCACGTACAGTTTTTAGGGTTTGCGGAGCCCGGAAAAGACGTCCGTTCTCGTCAGAAAATCGCAGCAGTCTCCGGACGCTGAACGTAAGAGCGTTCACATCGAAGAGCTCACCATTGAAGGGGGGCTACTGAGGTTTTAAGAGCCACTGATCGTAGTAATGGCATTCCAAAGACACCGCGTTGTCGTAAATTGTTTTTCAACAGCTACGTCATATACGGCTGAGGCCAGGGCTTGGGGATCCATCGCCGGAAACGTAGAGGCACCAAGCAACGACGTGAGGCTTGCCGAGTCGGTTCGTGGGTGCCGACGACGTCCGAGCAACCCTAGTGGGGGCCTTGCTTCCGAGAAGACTGGATATTCTTTCCAGCGAGCAGACAATATAGCATGCTTGTTGCTGATGCGGATCGCAGGAGGTGGATAACAAGACAACCAATCCACAGCAAATAGGTCGAGCACGCTACATGGGACAGTGGTGGTCGCCGCCATGATAAACTGAAACGAAGCCGAGCTGGCCAAGCCTGGCCAAGCTTCAGTTTAGTACACAATGCACTACAACATGGTTTATTACAAATAATTATATAAATGTTAAAACAACTTTCTGTATTTGAAAATTTAAAATTCAGTCGACTAAAACAAGCACATTTATGTTGCGTCAAATGAGCTTGGCCGGAACCAACGAGCATTGCCGCATCGCCATCACCATCGTAACGAAACACAAAAACAAAGCGAGTTTCAAACTTTCGGGCGTAATGTTGGGCGCTTCCAATCTTTCGGAAAAGGACATCGAAGAATGTTCTTGGAAAAAGGAAGTGTATTAGGTGCCGGCGGGCCCGTGGAACCAGCTGTGGAGTTGAGTCTAATTGGTGAGTGCTCGCCGATTCGTTTTACTTCTTCAGTCCTTTCTGTTCGGAGCGTTTATGTCGTGTTCTTGTGTGTGCAGGCGGCGTGAAAGCGACCGTGAGCGGTTCCTTGTCGCACACGTGCGTTCCGCATTGGATGGCCCTCGAGCTCTTGCCAAGGAAGTCCCGGAACCGATCTGTCACTGAGCGAGCAGTCAGATTGCGGGAAGGCACCCAGAGGCAAAGGTTCCACCGGAGGCAGCTGGGGCGGCCGAGCGAGGCACTTGGTGATTATATCGGAGCTTCATCTCGTAGATCGGTAAACAAAACTGCTGCAAATCGCGTGGTGTCTTGGTATCGCCTAGCTAGGCGGTGTGTTTTGCAGAACCCATGACTGGTAAAAGTACCCGTTAGCGTGCTGGCGCGCGTATTCGCTTCCATTGTGGGGGGTTGGATTCTAGTTCGTTTTTTGTTTTCAGAAACTGCTCGAAACAATGCGTGACGTGCGCCTTTAGAAGTAGGGTCTGTATTGATGATGTTGTTTGCGGAGAGTATAAAGAGTTCTTTTTCGACTGGGGCACTGACTTTCTATACAAAATCCTGTATATGTTGCGCTTATTTACTAACCCTCTGGCAGTACTTGATTGAGAAGGTTGGAAGCAAAAACAGAAACGCGCATTGAGTATTGACAACAGAAACAGAAAAAAGGTGTTTTAAACAACTTCCTCTAAAGACCATGAACTGATTTTCAAACCACCACCTCCTCACTTCATAAGCACGCGAGAAATCATGTGGTGGTATTTCACTGGAACCCAAAGTTTTCCCACCAGTCTGACAGTCGGCAAGGGCAAAGGCCTCGATAAAATTCAAGCTTCACATTTTCACAAGTGCCGACAACCATAAAGTATAAACCGCAGGCTTCTAGCCAGGATTTTGTTTCGGAAAGGGGGGGGGGGGGGGAGGAGGAGGAGGAGGGGGGGCTCGTCCATTGCAAAATGCTGTATGAGGGGTAGGGGGGAGAGGAGGCCCCAGCAAAATGGAAGATTTTGGAGGGGGGGGGGGGGGCGGGCCCCATGCCTCCCGCCCCCTGGCTACGTGCCTGATAAACCGCATGTAAGCAATTTAGCGAACAACGAGACAAATGATGGCAACCCTTTTCGCAATCGCTCGATCAGCCGCACGACGAGGCGAATCACACGAAAACGACGGGAACAAGCGACCAAGGCGATGAGCAACGTTTTCTAGAAATCGAAAAACCGAGCTACAGTGAGAAATCTTCATCGCTTGCTAAATCGCGTACATGCGGTTCAGCCTTAATTGTGTAAGCTCGAGAGACGGTGCCACTCACTTCCAAGTGCCTTTCATTTCAGAACTAAACTGCCATACCCTGCAGCGACCGTCCAGCGTTTTAAAGCGCCCAATCAATGGAAACAACCCACCAGCGCCACTCCAAGGAGCGCTTTTGCCGGCTCTCTGGTATCACGCAAGAGATCGCGATTCAGGAAAACCGATAGAACTACCATTTCTAAAATTTCCAGCCTCACCCGGCGGCGGAAACGAACCTTCAACTAAGTGTTGTAGACGATAAAATCGAGTCAGTCACCACTGCAAATTATCAATATTAAGATATATTCAGTTACAAAATTTTACTAGCTGAAACAGCAGTTATCACCAGAAAACTCGCACGCACCTTGCGAGCGTACCGCATGTTCATTGGCGATACAGCGTTCGGTGCGCGCTCCATTCACGAAAAATGTTCCGAGCACAGTCGAGAGGTTGGCGTTGAGGAAACGCCTTTTCGGCTCACGGACGCAATCCACTGCTGCCTGAAACCGGAGTCATGTGGAAAGCATAGAGCTTAAACGCCGTTCACACTCTTGCGACCGAGTACGACCGAGAGAGACCAGACTGGTTTTTAAGCCTTTTGCGACTTCTTAGGACCGGATGGGCTGCAGCGCGGAGGTGGTCCTAAGAGATCGCAAGAGGCTTAAAAAGCGGTCTGGTCTCTCTCGGTCTTACTCGGTCGCAAGAGTGTGAACGGGCCTTTAAAGACCATTGCAGCCGCTCTCGCCTTGCCGGATCCCTTGCAAGCTACATAGGTCTTCCGACAGTATTCAACGCTTTCTGTTTTTATTCGAGCACCTTATGACCGAGCAATGGTGTCCCGATGACTGGGGGACTGTTGCCATCGAAGCCCGTAGCTGTAATTAAGTGTGCGAGTTTAAAACAGAAAAGACGGTGCGAATGAAGTTGGGGCACTGCAGACAGCCAACACCGGCCAAGCCTCTCATCCGGGACTTTCACTCTTTCTACACAACCAGAAAGGGGGAAAGCGCCGGTAGCCCTTTCCCCTTTTCTCTCTCGCCCTCTTTCAGTAAAACGGTCTATACAGCCGTCCGTAAACCGTTTAGGATGAGTGTAGCTCATCCGCGCACCATACCTTACCCCTTGTTTCTTTTTGGGCATCCCAGGTTTGTTCTGAGCATACCTCTCGTTGTAGCTTTCGTAGCTGCTTAGAGATGGCAGGACGCATTTTTTTATTGTGCAGGTTTTTAAGGATGGTGACTGATTGTGGAAACATGTGCGGCCTGGGCCGTAGGCGCAATAAAAATAAATAAAATAAAAAGCTAGAGGAAAGAAAAAAGTTGAGTGGTTACGGTGAACAATGTGCAACATTATTATGCATTTTCCTCGTTCCTTTGAGAATATCTAACTGGATACAAGACACACTTTCATGACGTGCAGGCAACGTCAACAGAAATGTTAAGTGAGTGCAGACTTTGCAGTCTACTTATGACCGATTCACACAACGAGCTTATCCGCAGATGGATTGATCACTTGCAAGACGTCCACGGAACGTCAGTCCCCCAAGTGCGTCCACACGGAGGAGACGAGCTGATGACAACGAGGACAGACTGAACCTTTTCGCGGCCCTGCAATTCCACAAAAGGCCAACATTGCACTGTGGCACCGTTTTCCAAGGTCAGAAGTGATGTTTGCGACTATGATCACGGTGCTATCATAAAAAAGAATCGTTGTGTGCCGCTTTTACATACCGAGTGAGACAAAGCATTGTGACAGGCTTAGCGTGAAGCACCACTAGCTCTACTAACCACATGTCACAAGTACAGTTCTGCTCCAGAAGGCTTCAGCATTAAAGCGATTAAGTCTTGGGGTTGCGGAGAGGCAATTGGAAATGCCTTTACGCATTGCTTCCTTGTGCACCACTCTTCAGCACACTACAGCCGTAAGAAAGGTCTTGCTGGGTGGAAAACTGGGTGGACGTGCAGGAAAGATTGCAGCGTGCTAGGCAGGTTTTCACAGAAGTTTCTTGACACCGACCTGGAGGAGTACCAGAACCTGCGGCGCATCAACTGGGCAAAGTTCTTGCCGCTTCTTTCACGAGTGGAAAATAAGAATGGCTCGACAAAATGAAACAGCGAATGACAAAACACAGTGGTGCACTATCTTTGTTTGGCTTATTCGAAAACAAAAACATTGCTGTGCTGTTGGTACTCTACTGTACATAAACACTTTTACTGTTACTCACCCGCCAGAAATCTGCGCGTGAAAAGGCACTCTGCCCTCGCAGTCTGGGCGTCCGCTGACGAGGTGCAAATCGTAGGAATAGCCGACATGATGGTAACGTGACAAACGGTCCACGGATGAAAATTGCGATTCGATCCATCATGTGAATCTACCATTATTTGTCAATTATCCTAATATGATCATTTGATCCTAAGAAAGAGCGATTGTTCTTTAAAACAGTGTAATGAAAGTAAGTTTTTATTAACAGTGCCTGCTCCTTTCTTTGACAATGGAATGGTACAAGTCTTGGTAAAACAGAAACTTCCTGTAGATCAGACATTGCAGATTACAGACGTCTGCTCATTCCATGCTCAAACATGAGCTTGTATTGGCAATGCCAACCACCCGTGTATGATCTGAAAATTCCTTAAAGGGATACTGAATCGGAATTTCGAGCTCACAAAACTAGGCGGGACGCTGCAAAACCCAAAAACATCACTCATACAGCAATATCTCTAACGGATTGCCGTATTTTTAGAAAAGAAATTCGCGATTGAACACGGCTGACAAGGCCGACGAGACAAGGCACGTCACGATTCCCATTCCCTCTTCACCTCGCTATGTCTCGTGTCGAGTTGGTGAACCGAAGCAAGGAGCAGAGAAGCGAGGCCGCTTCCCCTCATTCTCAAATTTTCCCGTTGGACAATTACGTCAAAGACCTCACTTGATCGCGCCCTTCATTTCCAAAAGTACGGCCATCCGTTTGAGATATCAATGTTTGAGTGATGTTCTGCAGTTCGTAGCGTCCCGTTCAACGCTTCTGCGGCCTTATTTTGCAAAATCCAAATTTCGGTTCAGTATCCCTTTAATGACTGTGGTGAAGGGAGAGTAGTTTCTGCTGTCAAGAACAGGATGGAGTAAAAGGAAAACTGTCTCGACGAACAATGAATGCTCCGGGTTACCCATTCGGCCCAATTTCTGCAACATGAACCGGGCTCTAACAGAAAGACGTAGGATAAGCACTTCGAAATCTTTAGGATTTGCCAAGGGATGAAATAAAATAAATGCACAGAAAAGCAGGGGAAGGAGAATGGCAAGAAAATTTTGGGGCTTGTGTTTTTACATTTTTTTTAATTGTTTGTGCAGGAAGCATTACTGAAACAGCACTTCAGTCCTGGGGCTACAATTCATTGCTAGTCAAAGCCTGTTTCCAGAGATGCGCATCAGGTGAGCAGCTTTTTTAGAGCGCAGCTCTTAGGGGCCCATTCCCGGCTTGAGCGGCGTCGCCGTCGCCGTCGCCGTCGGCGTAACCAAGGTCATCCCAAGGTCACGTGACCCCCAAGGTCACGTGACCCCTCCAGGTCACGTGACCCCTCCCAAGGTCATCTCAAGGTCACGTGACCCCACGTGACTCCCAAGGTCACGTGACCCCTCCCAAGGTCATCTCAAGGTCACGTGACCCCAAGACCCCACGTGACCCTTTGGAGGTCACGTGACCCCCAAGTCACGTGACCCCTCTGAGGTCACGTGGTCTCCTCCCCAAGGTCACGTGACCCCCAAGGTCACGAGACCCCTCCCAAGGTCATCTCAAGGTCACGTGACCCCAAGGTGACCCCCACGTGACCCCCAGGTCACGTGACCCCTCTGAGGTCACGTGACCCCTCTGAGGTCACGTGACCCCCCGAGGTCACGTGACCCCCCTCCCCGAAGTCGCGTGACACCCCCCCCCCCCGAGGTCACGTGACCGCCCCCCCGGAGCATATTAAAGAATGAGGGGAGGAGGAGGGGTCTACCCTCCCCTCAGTACCCTTCACTCCTCCTCCTCAAGAGCTGCGCTCCAATTCGGCGTTACAGGGATTTGTAAACGGCTTTCACTTTTTTTAAAGAACATTAAGTGCTTTTTAACATTACCCTCCAATCCTAAAATGTTGTCCATCCATCCGTGCATTTGCCGCTAAATTTAGCGGGGACATTGCTGCTACGTGACCTCTACACAAATTCAGTTTCCCTCTAAATTTAGCAGAAAAATTTATGTCACGAGACCTACAGACAATTTAAAGCTCTTCGATAAATTTAGCGGAAAAATAGACGTCATGTGACCTATGCAACCAATCAATTTCCTCCTCTAAATTTAGCGGAAATATTCATGTCATCTGACCTATGCACTAATTCAGTTCCCCTGCTAGATTTAGAGGGACAATTGATTTCATGTGCCCTGACGTCATGTGACCTACAGACAAATTCAGGTTCCCCGCTAAATTTAGCGGGTAAATTGATGTCACATGACCTACATACCGATTCAATTTACCCACTGAATTTGGCAGAAAAATTTGTCATGTAATCTGACGTCATGTGACCTACAAGGTAAGGTTCCTGCTAAATGTAGCGAAAAAATGGATGTCACGTGACCTATGTACCAATTCAGCTTCCCCACTAAATTTGGCAGAAAAATTGATGTCGCTTGATCTGACGTCATGTGGCCTATACACACATTCATTTTAAAATAAAAAAAACAACCTCTTAAATACTGCATTTCATGTGTTATAGCTAGGAGTGTGCAAATACTCGAATATACGAATTCAAATCGAATAGAAAGTTCCCGAATAATTCGATTCGCGAATCGAATTCCTAGTATTCAGTCACTCGAATATTCAATATATTTGGCCAAAGACGCGCGGTCGGCGCGGAGCTGACAAAAAAGTCATTCTTTCTCCCGATGTAAGCGCTGTGATATTAGACAGACCATGCGAGAAACACCTCTTGGTCCTACCATTCCACAAAAATCTAACGCGCAGGTTAGAAAAAAGAAAATTAACGAAAGCCACAAACTTTATAGCACGCAGATTTACTCACAATCGTGACACAATCTTGCCTTGTATCACAACCGAAACATCCTGTTACGCCGCGCCATGCCTAATTGTTTTTCACGAGCGCCGATGTAGAACACACTTGCCGCATTCACGGAAATCGGCGACTGCACGATCACACAAAGAAAACTACGTTAACCACGCCGATGAAACCAGCCGAGTTATCTTCGTCGTTCTTTTGGAGCTGTAAGCCGCAAATTCTGGTTCTGAACAAAACTCAACGGAAAAATAGTGTGCCTAGATTTGAGAGGGTTTCCAACTGTTCGATAGCCGCGTTTGAATTACGAACTGCGAGAAGGTGACGAAAAGACGGAAGCGTTGATCGGGATCGGGCAGGCAGGGCAGGCGTCGTTGCTCTTTTGTTTGCTCGCCTTCTTTCCACGCGACAACACAACACATGCACACTTACGACCAACCTGCGCTGGAGCAGTCTTCGTAATTTCAGTTTCGCTTGCTCCCTCTTTTAAATCAAGGCTCTCTAAAACAGGATAGATAGACGGAAAAATTGATGCATAGCGGCAGTTGGACGGTGACTTGCGCTACCTAACCAAGTTTTGTTTCCTTGCTTCAGATTATATTGTTTAAGCCTGTTTACTCAGATTTAACACCTATCTGTTTATTTATGCAAAATAAAATCTCCGGTGTCCTTTTTCTTTCTTAAAATGGAGACCGAATATCGCAAAATGTCCCTTTTCTGAGATACACAAATATTTTCTTAAAAGGGTCGCGGTGTTAGGTTGTGCTTTTAACGAGAAGGCACGCGTGGCTGTAACTTTTCTTTTGTGACGTTTAGGGTAGATAGATTATGTTTGCGCCATAAAATTGGATCTTTAGTGGCCAACGTCCAACAGCAACTGATTTTATTTTTTTTTACCAGAAGTTTTTTTACATTTTTGCTTTTGTTCCGTACAAGATGCATATTCTACACCAGGCACATACTCTGCACATATAATAGTCTCATTTGCAGCACACTTTGAAAAATTCCTACAAATAAAATCACTATTCGATACTCGATTCGATATTCGGCTTTGTTTACTTGATTCGATTCGGTATTCGATTCGAAAACTACTATTTGGTATTCGCACACCCCTAGTTATAGCACTTTGAAGGTAAAAGTCATTTCCAATTTTAAATAATGTTTTTACTTTAAAGAAACAACCTTTCTCTAGTTGTTTTGATTGAACACTAGTGTCATAAACTGCTCCTAGCAGCCTTGAACAGTAAAGTTTGCACATCTGGGCCCGTTTGCTCGAAAGCGCTAACCACGGCTAGAGTTAGCCAGAGCACCTAGGAGAGGAATTTTGAAATCACGTGACGGGCTCGGTAGGGATGCGGGGAAACATGGCGGTGCCCCAATGACGGAGCGCCGCTCGCTTTGGAACTAATATGTCGTTGTAGCTGCAATATCGGGCGCTTTAGTCAGCAACGAATGGTGCAGTATGCTTCCGCTTTGCCTTACCTCACTTAAATCGCAAAGCACGAGCAATGACCTCGCCGCAT